CTAATGTACTGCCTGTTATATAATTCCACTATGATTATTATTACTAATAACACTTTCTTACATAAACTACTGTATTCAGATCTCATTTGCCTTAGGAAAGGATCTGATACATATACATACTGATACTGGATCCTACCAGAGGCAGCAAAATGAACAGCAATAAAAACAACAGTACCTATATCCCAGTGTTTCGCTTTGATGGATCATATGAAGAATGTAGGATTCCTTGCTTGTTCCTGTCAGGCCAGGCAATAACAGGACAGTGGGTCTTGTGCTGGCATCGGGGTAGTATGAGCTGTCATTATTATCAAACCAATCCAATGAAATCTGTCCTCCATCTGCTGTTTTAATGAGCTCACTGAAAGGTACATTTTAAGACAACACTGATCAGATTAAAAAATACATGCAATTAAGAGTACTTGCAGTTTACAGATTAAGAGGTATGAATTCTGCATTTTTCATTATGTTGTAATACTCAAAGTGTCACCTGACTAGGCATGTCTGGAGTCAGAAAGAGTTACACCTACAGCTGACAAGAGATAGAACAGTCAATTTGCAGGGTAATTCCTGTTCAGTAAATGAAGTCAGTAAATGAAGACATGGCCTTTCATAAATTGCTGTTGATGTACTGGAAGCTTGTAACTAATAGATTTTTGGCACTGCCTTGAGTTTTATGCTGGCATTTTTGTGTACTGCAGATTTCCTTTGAATCATCTAAGAATCTTTTGATAGCACACTGGGTAATGCTGTAAGCATTTGTCACAATTTTTTTCCCCTCTTCATCCAAAGAAGTAGAACGTATGATGGATGGTTATGTTTCAAACATGCAGAACACAGACACACACTACAGCATCTTTCACCCCGTATCACTACAAACTGTGCTAGAATGCACTCTTATAGCATATATCTTAATAATGCAACAAATACTGTAATATCTCTGGAACATATGCATGCCTTAAACAATGACAAAAAAGTTTCGTTCTTTATTTTAGAAACATACAAATCTTCCCACTTCCTGGAAATTTGAACAGTTGAAGTGCTACTTTACTTTCATAATTTAGAAAAGTAGTTATCCAAATAGAGAAGAGATAGCCAAACGTAGATAAAAGCTAATATATTCATATTTGAACGGTTCGAGGGAGTTGGTGTGGAAAGTGCTGAAATGTAAGCCTACCTGGCATTTGATTTTTCTTTTGAAATTCTTGGTAGTGACTACTGCAGATTTCAAAGGTGACCAGCCTTGTCGGACTCATTAGCTCAGCTTTGCCCTTTTTCAGTAATGGGAAGTAGATGCACTGCTAGTACTGCCAACACAATCTAAAATGGTGCAAAATAAGCACTGCTCCATGGAACTATGTTTCTTTTCTCAAAACCCTTGAAATAAAAGTGTACAAGAAGGACTAGAAGAAGTAGACATGGCCATACCACTGAAATGTTTCCTAGTTACTAAAACTAAGAGAAGCTGCTAAATGCTAAATCTATTCTACCGTGCAAGCAGAGCTGAAACAACTTGTGTTGCATCCAGGTTCCGGCGCATTAAAGTCCCTCTCCTTAGGTCTTGTGCCAAATGCCTCATTTGCCAGACTAAGTCTCATTTCTGTGTGAAAGAGATCGGCTGAGGACAAAAAACAAATATAAGGGATTTTTCCCCTCTTAGAATGAGGGAAATGTTGCCTCTTTAGGCATGCCTCTTAGGCATGAAAGAACCCAACAAAAACTCCACAGGTAAAAGTTACTCTGGAAATCCCAGAAGTTCTGTATATTCAAAACAAGGCTGAATGTGGCCATGCTACGGTTAAGGTACAATGTATTGGTTTAATGGACAGATACAGTGACTGCATGACCTTTGCAGAATTATGGCATTCGAACACCAGAATGTTTGATAAGCCAAGTAACTGTGCTGCCATTCAGAGGGGCCTCTACAGGCGGCAGAAATGAGTTGACAGGAATTTCACAAAGTTCAATGAGGGGAAGTGCAAAGTCCTGGGCCTGGGAAGGAACAACCCCATGTACCAGGAGAGGCTGCCCATCTGGAAAACAGCTTGGCAGAAAAGGACCCGAGGGTGCTTCTGGTGGACACCATGTTGAACACAAGTCAGTAATGTGCCTTTGCAGCAAAGATGGCCAAAAGTCTGGAGGCTGTGGAGGCTAGGGAGGAACTATAGCCAGCAGATTGAGGGATATGATCCTGCCCCACTATGGAGCACTGGTGAGGCCACATCTGGAGTACTGAGTCCAGCTCTGTCCAAGACAGACATGAACATACTGGAGATAATCCAACAAAGGACCCCAAAGATGATGAACAAACTGGAGGAATCTCCTATAAGGAAAGGCTGGGACAACTGGGACTGCTCAGCATGAAGAAAAGGCTCAAGGGGAACTTAGCAATGTGTTTACATATCTGAAGGGAGGGTGCAAAGAGGATGGAGCCAGGCTCCTTTCAGTGTTGCCCATTGACAGAACAAGAGGCAATGGGCCCAACCTGAAGCACGGGAGGTGGCCTCTGAATATCAGGAAATAAATTTTCAATGTGAGAGTGTGCCACCGAGCACTGGCACAATTTGCCCAGGGGTATCATGCAGTCACCATCCTTCTGGAAATCCAAAAGCTATTTTGACATGATCTGGGGCAACTGGCTCTGGGTGACCCTGCTAAGGCAGGGCAGCAGGAATAGCTGACGTCCAGAGGTCTTTTAACACCTCATCCACTGTGTAAACCTGTGCACATATAACCACATCAGTTCCTATATTGTCACCCATATTTCAGTGCTACAAAACTCTGAACTAAAATAGGGCCATTTGGGAACACTGACCTTTCAAACCTGCTTCATATTGAATCCACGATAAAGGTAGTTCCAAGTCTATGACAAAGTTGTAAAGGTGGGCATAAAGCAAAAAAAACCAGGCACGAACTTGAGCAAAGACAGTGGGTGTGACACAGAGTAAGAGAACAGCTGGATATCAAATCAATCACTTTCCAGAATGAAGGCACTTACTTCCTATACTGTACTTGGGGTCTAGATGTGATAAAGGGGCGCAGGAGTGTCTGCACCCGACCTTCCCAGCACCAAATCGTGGGATAGTAAGTTTCTGTCACAACAGGGCAATATTCCTCGAGAAAGCGGCAGAAACGGTCATTGCTTGCCACCAGCTGGGGTTTCTAGGAAAAGAGACTACAGTCAGACATGGACATTCTTCTAAAACAAATTAAAAAACAAAGAAATAAAGCTTATTTAAATCCTCTCTCAGTGAACTAATTTATTTCATATAATCATTTGCAATGCTCTTACCTTTAATGGTACAGAGAGAAGTAAATGAAAACCAAACAAAATGCCAAAATGCCCAAGCAAAAAGTGAAACCCATTAAGCATAATGGATTCCTTACCCATTTCTAATAACATACTGATCTATCTCTAATTTCACCAGCATTGTATCTTCACTGACATATTAAAATCATGCTGTTCCTTAGTAAACAAGAAAGATTTTACCAAGTCTGTTTTCTTGGACCACACAAAATGACATTTAATTCATGCATGCACTTTGACCGCAGTACCTTTTTTAACCTGGTAGGATGCTTCTTCTCCCATCTCATTCTACAGTACACAAGTGCATCGGGTCCTCCTCTCTAATAATGCTCTGCATGTAGACAATTTGCTCACAGTTTCCATTTGTTTACCAATTAACATGGAAAAGTCCCTGTATTCCAAACAGCTCATGTTTTACCAACTATATTTCTTATACCTCTCTGTCACAATGACTCCTCAACATACAAGCATTAATAGGACAATAACACTTGCTTTGAGAAAAACCATTCCACATAAACAGCTGTAATGGCACATCCTCCCTTCGTTTTTCTCCTCTCACCGAAATCAAGTACTCTTCTCTATGAAGAGGAAGGCTATGTTCCCAGCGGTTCTCGGAAGGACTGTGGCAACACTCAGGTCCTCGACGGTCAAAACCCTTTTGATATGCGTTTTTTCAATTGATTACGCATTCAACGAGGCGCTCTCACCAGGGGGCCACTTCAGATCTCGTCAGGCTCACTGTATCCAAGCAATTTGCGATTGCCTGATTCATCTGTAAAACTACTGCTGATGAGCCCCCAAACGCTGCCATGGTGCCCCCAGAGGTACTTAGGATGGTACCGACGGGGACACAAGGGCAGCAAAACTACTTGATCGCTTGCCCTGCTAGTGAACCAAGTAGGTCGGGTTTGTGTTGTGCAGGGCAGTCTCCTAACCTCCCTTTCCAAAGCATGGCAGCCGGCCAAGCTCTCCAACTGGTACAAACGCATTTTGGGGACTGCCGAGACTGGAGCCCCCTTCCCCTGCCAGACGGAGCAGGACCAGCGGAGCCCTCCCTCACCGCAGGCCGGCGGCCTCCGGGGGTCACCGGCGGCCCCTGCGCAAGACGCAGCCCCGGCGGCCGGGGAGGCTGCGCTGCCGGGCCCGTGTGGGCTTCGAGCGGGGTTTCGGCCAGTCGGGACTCCGGGCCGGCACCTGCAGGGGACGGACGAGGATTTGAGGCGGACAGGGCGGCCGCACAGCCCTGCTCCCCCCCAGCCATTTCAGGTGAGATCCCCTCGCCTGCGGGCGGTGGGTCGCGGTGACCTTCGGGGCTGTCCCCATCGGCGGGACACCTGCGGAGCCCGCCCGCCCCGCCGCCCTCCCGCTCACCTTGGCGATGCTGTTGAGGTAGTAGCAGGCGTAGGCGACACCGAAACCCAGTACCAGGGACAAGCCCACGCCGGAGCCGAAGAAGCCCACGCGGACCTGGCTCTCCAGGTAGAGGGAAAGCTCCCTGGTCAGCACCTGCCAGTCCATCGCACACGGGGACGGCACGGCAGGACACCACACCCCGGCTGCCGCGGGCGAGCCCACCCCGGCGCCGAGGGGGGAGGAGGAGGAGCGGGAGAAGGAGGAGCGGGCGCCCGCCTCCCGCCGCCGCTGCCCGCGGCCCGCTCCGCGCTGCAGCGCCGCCCCGGGACCGCCCCCGCCGCGGCCACCGGGGCCTGGGCCGGTTCTCAGGGGCGGGGGCCGGGGCTAGGCTGGCTCGCAGCTTGCCGCGCGGGGGACGCAGTCCTGAGCCCGGCTCCTCCGCGGCGGTGCTGCCGCCATCGGCCGCCCCACTGCAGGTGACATCTCAGGGCCCCTTCGGCGTCACCTTGCCCCGTCGCTTTGCTGGGAGGGTGGAGAGGGAGTGTGGGGGTGAGATAAGAAAGGAACCCGTCCCAAACCGTAAGGAGCAGCTGATGCAGGCGTGTGGAAACTCAGTCACTGACGGGCAGGGAAGAGGGGACATGGGCTTCCAAATGCAGCAGTGGTTAATCAGCAATCTCTCTCTAAATATTTTACGTGAGACAGAAGTGTGCTACTGCTCTTCTACTTATCACTGCTGCTACAAGGCATTAGTGAAGACCAGAGAGGAGTAGAGGTATCTCCAATTCCCCACAGAATTTCCTTTTTCAGCTGTATGGATTGTTGCTTGGAGGCCCTCGTGTTTGCTAACTCAGATGCTCCCCCCTTCAGCTTCATAAAAAGACTCTCAGTATCTGCGTCTTTTCCTTGGCAAAATCCTAGGAGCACAGCTGATAACACGAAGATCCTGGAGCTGAGCATCTGCTATTTGAGATGCATCCATGCACCACAGTACACAGAAGTACTTTCCCTCTCCTTATTTTATGGCCCAGCTCCATGAACTGCTGAGAGAAGACAGACGTTGCTCAGTGAGACTCTTCACTTCTTGCCTTATCTGTGTTTTCCTACTCTATCCAAATTTCAAAATTTACAAAATAAAAAAAGAAGAAAAAAATGTAACCACAGAAAAGGAGATGCGGCATTTTTCACTTACTCCTCCTAATTAAGACAGAGTTTACCAGACAGATTCTGCACTGATGTAAAGCATCTTGGTCCAAAATGTTCTTGTTCACCATGGAAAGATTAATAAGAGTCTATTGCAGAGATCTGAAGAAATTTTTAAATACCTGTTTTTCCTATACAGTCAGCTGTCCAAAGTTGAAAAGAGTATGTGAGTTGATAAGGAGAGGCAGGGGTGGTCTGGGGTTTGGGTTTTTTCCCCAGATCTGTTACAGAAACAGGAAATCGAATGGGTGGAAAACTGCTGTCATCAATGCTGCCCTTCCTCTGCTGATGGAGAATAACCATACCCAGGTTTTGGTCCTGACTTGCTGGGAGTGTGTGCTGTACACCCCGGATAAAAGGATTTATCATGAAGGGACACTCTACTGGGAGAGCTGGTGTAGATAGCTCAGTTTGAGAACATGTAGGCTTCATCTGCAGTGTGAACTTAGGAATCTTCAGAGACAATAATGTGGCTGAACTGACAGCTAGATTTTAGGTTGCAGAGGAACCTGCTACATCTGAAGGGGGAACTAGTTTTGCTTGCAGCAGACTGTTCTGTATCTGAGCCCTATCCTCATTAAGCTCAAGAATCCTTGAGTCACCCAAAATCTAGAGAAAAGAAAAATCCCAAATGTCTGAGAAAGAAGAGGGCACAGCCTGTGTCCTTGGGTCTAGAAGGCTTCTAAAGGCATATCCACTCATTTGACTGAAAAGTGGAAGGTGTGGCTGTTTCTGGTTAGAGAAAGCCTTTGAGTCATACAAATCCAGCAGTTTAATGATTTGATCAACAATCAGGAGAGATTGAATGTCTGAAAAAACATCCAGACACAAAGGTTGATGACGTTTATCTGGTCTTGGACTTCCACCTACCCTGTGTCGGTTACTCATGGGAATATCAATAAGGTCAGGCATATGTGACATGCTGCTGGCAAACTGAAACAAATGACATGTACTGAGAAGGGCTGAGGGGTTTGGGTTTTTTACCGTGTAAACATGTTGCTACGTTGACAACAGCAGAAATGTTAATAACTTCCTTCTGCTTCAAGCAATTCCCATCAGATCCTCCGGTTCTGGTGTTGGGCTTTCTAAGTCTTTAAAAGGTTGTACTTTGGCCTACAATGCATTTTGCAGAGCTGATAAAGAAAAGGCTGTATTATGCTCATACTACAACCACTTCCAAGTGATTGAGTCATTGCAAATTGTGCATGTGTGCAAAAACAAGGTGGTCCCTACAGCATTTTGAACGCTTACTGCATTTTTCTTTTTCAGAGAAGGAGAGTCCGTGTTCCCAGAGAGAGTTCCTGTTTGCAATATGCTCTCTTCTTTCCAAGTGCTTCATAAAACGATTGCCTCAACCCAGTACTAATGGATTATAGATTAAGCAGAAATGAAAGGGCACAGGACTGTTCTTTCATATTGTCTCCCAATTTATCTTGCTTAAGCAATAGATAATAATTGACAGAAGCAATTGAAGAGTCACAGTCTGATTTGCTTTTATCACTAGAAGTCTGCACTATGTTTATGTTATCTTTTGTTTAGGGAGGCGGTTCTATGATCATCTGGGGTTTGGGGCAGAATCATTATGTTCTTACTGACATTCCAATGGACAGTTGCAAGTTGGCCCCACTGCAGTTCTCTGGAATGGATTTCAGTGCAGTACCTCTGAGGAGGGGCAAAGTGACTTTTAACCTCAGAGCTCTAAATTCAAGGTTCTGTTTGATTATATTCTTTTACTGTTTGTTTAACTTTAGTATTCATCTAACAAAATGGGATAAATACCTTTGTGTCAGCATAAACTATCTTGGGATACTTAAAAAGTGCAAAGTCCATGCATAAAACATTTGAAAAGTTTTTTTTTTCCATTAAAGAAAAGGCATCCAGTGTTGGTGATATTTATTATCAGCAAGGGAATGGGAGAAAAAACGTGCATTTGAAAAATTCAATTCAGCATTTCTCAAGACTTCCTCATGCATATTATTTATTTGTCTTTCCTTAAAATATGAATGAAGTCAGTGAAAATGCTCTGTGTTGGAGGCTCTTCAAATTTCAGATGGAAAAAGCCAGGCTGTGTTTGTGTTTGTACTCTCGGTGCTCATGAAAAAATCAATGATTGTGGCATTAGGAAGGGCTGCTTCTGTTGTCCCTTTCTTAAGCTTTGCTACTTCTACTATTATCTTCATATTCCCATGCATCCATTTATTTTTCTTCCATGGTTCTTTTCTTCACTCCATCAAGGAGTATTTCTCAGCCCTTCATGATGGTAAAATTGGAAGGAAGAAAGGATTCAAAAAGAACTTATTTGGGACATGTTGGTGGATGAGAAACTCAACTTGACCTGGAAATTGCTTGCAGCCCAGAAGGCCAAACAGCATCCTGGACAGTATCAAAAGAGTCAGCAGGGAAGGGAGGTGATTCTCCCCCTCTAATTTTTCCTTGTGAGAACCCACCTGGAGTGTTGCATCCACCTCTGGAGTCCTCAGCACACGGAAGATGTGGATCTGTTAGAGGGCCACAAAAATGATCAGAGGCATGGAAGACCTTTAAAGACAGATTGAGAGAACAGGAGTTGTTCATCCTGCAGAAGAGAAGGCCCTGGGGACACTAAAGCAGCCTTTGAGTACTTAATGGAGGGCTACAACAGAGCTGGAGAAGGACTTTTTACAAGGGCTTGTAGTGGTAGGACAAGGGAGAATGGTTTTAAACTGGATGAGGGAAGATGCAGAGATTTCAGAGAAGTTGTGGATGTGCCCTCTCTGGAGGTATTCAAGGCCAGGGTGGGTGAGGCTTTGAGCAACCTGGTCTAGTGGAAGGTGTCCCAGCCTATGGGGGGGTTGGAACTAGATTATATTTATGGTCCCTTCCAACCCAGACCATTCTATTATAATTCTATTATAATTCTATTATATTTATCTTCTTATCTATTATAATTTATCTTCTTCCCTTAACTATGTTTCCCTCAATAATAAATCTATTATTAAATATATTTCAATTCATCAGGCATAGCAGGTATTGTTTTACTCTCTGTTTGGGCGACTGAAGATACCTTCAACAGCTGCTGCAACAGGAAGACCGCTCAATATTTGTCTCCCTTGGGATGACTCTTGCAGGATCTGATTTGCATGAACTCAGCTCCCTGCCTTTGACTACAGCTGGCAAACTGCTAAATACAAAATCATGGTTAATAGAGGACCATTGAAAGTGAGCAATTATATTGAGGACATTTGTCCTATCAATTTTTTCATTAAAAATATTAACAGAAGCTGCTACAGAACTTAGAGAATTTTTGAAAGAGCACAGTAGAACTGGATGTTGAATCCACATGAAATTTCTTCCTGTCTTCAAGGAAGATTTATTGCAGTAAAGCCTTCTCAGTTTTATTTACCTGTTTTCATTCCTTCATAATCACTTCGAAGAAGTGATTATAACAAAAGGATAAATAGTTGCATTTCACACAAAAAAAACAAAATATCTTAGAATGTTTTATAATCATGTAACACCTTCCTCCAAAATGAAGTGACTTCCTTATACATTTGGTAAACTCTTTTTCTATGTACATCAGCACTATGGCACCAGCTGAATTCAGTGGAGTCAGAAATAAGCTCAATGAATCTTCTTCCTTTAGGCAATTTCTTAGATTTTCTTTAGCTTGTTAAGAGTGAAGATTATTTCTAAGAATTGTATGCAAGTGTAATTTTTAATTTTTAAAAAATTTCTAGCCATGTTTTAGATAAATGCAGATTTCAACAAGTCTGTCACAGTGTACTGCAAACATTACTTCTTAGAATTTAGGATTGCATAATGTTGTGACTGGAACAATTTTCTTATGACAAAACATAGAAAATTTGGATTCTGCTTGAGTTGTTCAATGTTTGTTACTATTTTGGAGGATTGTTAAAATTAAAGAGAGGTATTTTTTGGTACTGAAGTCATCTTTCAGGCATTACTTAGTGCATATTGAATGCCTTTGTAGTACAAGACTATCCTGTACTTGACACAGGACACTCTATGCACATGATTGGCCCCATTGATTGCAACAAAAATTATCATGCACATAAAGTAGGAACATCCTTAAAATATCTTGATGACATGTGGAGATGGTTTATTTTCCTATCAGTCTAAAAATATGACCTAGCTGGTTCTGATTACATCTTAGAATTTCAAATAAGTACTTTCTTTACAATCTTTGCAATCAGGAAATGTAATACCAGGAAGAAATTAATCCCTCCTTGCAATGCATCACCTAATTTAAAAATCATTTATAAATTAAACAACAATATTTGGCTAAACCATTGGAAATATCAGGTAAGTATACGTTTTTGAATCCTTTAAGGTGAGCTAAAGTAGAATTTATATAGATGTGCAAACATCAGTATGTGGTATTGTAGTGTGTATGCCCTAGATTGCTACATAATTGTATATTATTTTATTTTATTTTTGGATATTTAAAACTTCCAGGATTAACTGCATAGGTTTCTTGTTTTCTCTCCACTCAAAAGAGTTCAGCACAGTAAAGCGTAAAACCTTAACCAAAAGAGAAGATTCCAGGATGCTCATTATTATTATTACCCTAAAACACTTTCAACATGTTGAGGCTTTTACCTTCATTTAAAAAAAAACCAAAAAACAAACCAACCAAACAAACAAACAAACAAAAAAAACAAACAAAAAAACCCCAAACATTCTTTTTTAGCAGATCTCCATAGGAGTGCTTCTCTTTCACAGCAGGAAAATGAAATTATGTCTTTTATTCTGTTCTCTGCTAAGCTGATTTTCTTTTCTAGAAAAGGAGATAAAACTCATTAGAAAAAGAAATCCAGTGTCATAGACATTGTGGATTAATACATCTGTTCTAATTAACAGTTTCATAGAGGATGCCACTAGCATAGTGAAAACCAAACCCACTGAAGCAATTTGCTCTGGTGCATGACAACTTGCTCACTGCCTGACATTAAAAATATTTTAATCTGCAGAGACTAGGAAAAAAAAGCAATGCCAATTATTCATGACATTTCTGAAAATTGAGGAAGAAAATTGGATTGTGCCGGGGTAATGATCCTGGTAAATAAAGCAGAGGAAATAAGAGTGCGACAAGGGCAGACGACGGGCGAGTTTTAGCGCTAATGAGAAATGGTTCACGGCCACGCGATGGCAGCAGAGGCTGCGGAATCAGGGTTGTTTTTAACGCTAAACCACGGAAAAGCAGGATATGCCCTGCAGTTCCCAACCGGTACTTCGGGTTCCAGAAAATATACATTATGTACATTTGCACTTAAAGAAGTGGCATGTTTATCAGACCAGAAGTTTCTGTGGAGTGGGGCTACATACTTTTCATTACAAAAAAAAAAAAAAAAAAAAACCAACAAAAAAAAAAAACTTTTGAGGCAATCTTTTTTTCAGTAAGACAGTATTTTTTTATTTGCCAATATTTCTGTCTGTCTTCCTCAGTTACTCGAGTTAGTTATACGAAGAATAGATAACTTCAATAAAAGCAAGACAGTTGCTTCCTTTTCCCACATTTTTTTCCTAGTACTTTAGTTCACAGGAAAGAACTGTGGTATAAAATCCCTTTTGGGCAAAACCAGAAAATTAAAATCTAGAATTCTGTCAGTTTTCAGGAGGAGGACTAAAAAATCATGCTTATTCTAAAATATTCTAAAATAGCCTTGAACTAAAGAAGCAGAATTTTTGACTCAGATCAGTATAGAGTAATAAACTCTATCTCTGTAATTTAAAAAGAAAACTGCAATCTGCTCATTGTATCCAAACTAGATGTTCTTTCTCAACTCATAGGCAGCTATTTACATATATATCCTTCATATGACAAGTTCTAAGAACTCAGGATTTGTGCAAGATAGTAAATGAAACCTCGCAACTCTACAAGTTAAAAAATATCTTTCCAAGAAGTTGAGATTTTTTTTCTTCTGAAATGTATAAAAGCAAGACTTTCCTATAAGACATTCCTATAGAATTCTTTCCTGCAAAAGGCACAGTCCCTTTTCTGTGTTCCAGATAGCACAGTTCCCTTTCTGTGGTCTGTTTCCATTATGTGTTCCAGATACTACACTGCAAGTTCAGCTTTAATCAAACAAGACAGTCCACAAAAACTTCAATCAAAGCCTCTCTTCAATCCAGGCAAATACTTATATTGAATTTCCTGCTGGAGCATGACATTTTGCAGATCTGAAAGGCAGCCAGGCAGAGTTTGGACAAGCAGCTTTCTCTATGGCTTTGATGGGCAGGAGCATGGGCTGGATGTTCTCCAAAGTCCTGTTTCCTGTGACTCTGTGAGAGTTGTCCTGAGAGTTTCCCTACCCTTCAGAAAGGTGGCAGCTGCTCTTACAGAAAGTCACTCTTACAAATGTGTTTGCTTTCCAACAAAACCAAGGAGGCTACAGGGTATGCACAGCACTGAATTCTGCACAAACCAGAGGTCTTCTCTCTTGGCCCCTTACTGGATTGCTCCAATATGGCAGAAAGTGGTGAGGAAGAACATAACCACCAGCTGGAGGACTGACTCAGCAATATACATAATTTTGGGTAGCCAGAAGAGAACTTGTTCACTAGTTCATATTGCACATCCAAACTCCTGCACTGGATGGATATGAACAAGTCCTTGCAATTAGAGAGACTTTGCCTACAGCACTGTGGATTCCCTTCCTCCAGCTTCTGATTCAACTGCTCTGCCATGACTACCTGAGGTGTTCAAAGCAAGCACTGTCTCATAGGGCCAGCAACACTGTAAATAAGCCTTTCACAGATAAGCCTTGCTTGCTCATGATGCAACAGCTTAAGGCATTACTGCTCTGCCTGTCTGAATAGTAGAAAAAACCCCAGAGTCCCATTCTTCTACTGGTCCTAGGTTGGAGGAGGGTTATAAGTGT